CAAGTCTAAGATTAGAGCGCAAAATATAACAGCATTTCCCCAGAGTACTCTACCGGTTTCTAGTTCAGAGACTTCCTGAACTAGGCAAGTCTCTGTGCAGGTGGTAACCCCGAGCAGGTATCTTGTTCAGTCTCCCCTTGAGTCCTGTAAGCTTCTGGTACCGTCCTAACATCCCGTGGTGAGGAGCTTCCACAGACTGTGCAGTGTGAAGAACTGCTTCCGTGAGCCGTACGCAGCCTGCCATGGCTGGCTTTTTCAGCGACCCTCACTCGTGCTGGAGGAGCTGGTGGATGCAGCTGATTCCTAGGTGCCCTCTTCAGCCCTCCTACGAGTCTGTGGGTTGTTATCATACCTTCTGCAGTTTTAATCTGTTTGAGAGAGGAAGATCAGAACTGCGCACGATAGTCAACATGCAGTAGATCCATACACTTGCATAGTGGCATAGTGGTTTCCTGGTGTTTTTCTACTCTCCTCTTAATTTCTATCATTCGTTTTGGCTGTGGCTGGATATTAAGCCAGGACACCATGAAGATACCTACTTTGCTACCGAAAACACCTCCCTCATGTCAGCTAAGGCTTTGTGTGGTTACTGAGTTATATTTACCAAGTACAGTGATGCTAACATAAGGAATGTTAGTGAGTTTTATATAGGGAAACATTTTTTTAAAGACAAACCAAACCTGTCATCACAGAGATAAAATTATAAGCAGCTGTTTATAGATGTATGTAGTAAATGCATTTAACTATTACAGTTTCGACTCATCTTATTCAAGACCAGGCAGTTGCACTAAATTGATAACTTAAAAACTGCAGTGTTACCCTTTAAATGTAGTGATTCAACATATTAATAATCCTGCCAAAAATGAATTCTTTACGTGAATGAAATGAAATTGTAACTTTCAAAGAACTACTTAGGAGTCTTCGGACAGAGGGAGTTAAATACTTTTTTCAAAAGCACTTTCTTGTATCTCATAAATGCACAAAAATAAAAATAAACAGTCTTGTAAATTAATTTCCAGCAAGAGTTTGCTCGATCGTTTTCAATATTTGTTCCAGCTCTTTGCTCTTATTGTCACGGCTGCAGGGAGAAGGCAGCACACAATGCAGAATTCATGTGAACGTTTCTTTAAAAGTTTCTTGCATACAGCAATGCAAACTTACCTGTATATACAAAAATACTTTTCCAGACCATAAGTCTGCATGTTATAGCATTGTAAAAAGAGAATGCCTTATGATCCTCCCTTTTTGTAAACTCATGTGTACTACGATTTTAAAAAGCACTTGTAATCAAATACTGTTAATACTTCTCTTAGTCACAAGTATACTAGTAATCTGAGAGTTTCTGTAACCTTCGTTTCATTGTCGGTAGTTATGCCTGTCCTACTACATGACCTAAATTATTGTTGCTAAATTTTGTAATGGGCTCCATAATTTAGAACAGTACTTACAACAGTGGAGGAAGGTAATAGTTGCCTATGATGGCAGAAGTTATTTCTGTATAATTGGATCTTATTATATTAACCATTTGTCCTTCATTTTTACATACATTTGCTGTTTGCTTATTAATTTTATCTGTGTTTATCCTTATAATTGAGTTGAACTTTTTCTATGTTAAGATATTTTAGGAATCTTGTTTTAAACTGTAAAATACGTGCAAATCTACCCGTGCCATGACGAAAACAAATTTCTTTAAATAATCATCTCTATTCACACTGTCCTGTTAGCAATGAACATAAAACTCAGTCTCTCCTTAGTCATTCAGTGTATTTGTAAACTCTCGCCTTTTTTATGCACTACACAGTTCATGGAGATAGATTAATTTTAGCACGAGTAGACAAAAGCCATAACATACAAGAGAAATTGTCAACTCTGTGCTCTGTGAATGCAGCTATAGCCCACGTGTGCATACACTCCAGTGTGGTTAATGATGCTGGAGTCCTCAGTGACTGTGAATGTATAGAGCTGGATACGGGTGGCCGGCGTGGCTGAGGCGATGTGCTGTCGCACTTACAAGCAGAGTTTTGCTTCCATCCATGTCGCCCTGCCCCTTTCCTTTCTTGAGATGTATCCTGGCATCTTCAGTTTCTCATTAGGATGAGAAAAGTAATGTTTACTTTGATGCAGAATTTGCATTTTTGTGTGTGAGACAACAATCTTGCCATGGCAGATGCATTTTCAGTTACCAGGCATCAGTCTGTCTCAGCACTTTGCTCAAGGTTTAAGTTACCCTCCAAAGCGTAAGGCTGTTGACACTAGTGGCAGTAGAGTGGTTTTTAGCAGTACGTTTCCTTATTAACAAAAAACCCCATACCTGAGAACTTTCTTCCTAGGTTTATTATTAGGGCTTTAAAACAAAACAAAAACCTGAGGGACTTTTGCTTTGCTTGGTGTAGCAGGGCTTGGTCAAAGAGCAGAGAGTTTTATTTCCCAGAGTTTCCCTGAAAAAAACCTCTTTGATTTGGCTCTCGTTTTTAATAAAAATTTAGTTTTAGACACAATGAAAACGAAGTAGAATTACATGCTTAATATATATTATTTATTGCTTATAGTAGTAACTTTAAAATCGTGCAAACTAGCCACTAAATCCCACCAAGCATCATAGTTGTAACTGGTGATGACTGTCTCAACAGAACAAACTATGTACTCATCAGATGTTTGGATTTTCAGCGTTAGCATTCATTTGTTCAACACTGTGTGTAAACTCAGTGTGAGGTTTTTAGTCTAGAAACTAGATCAAATTCAGACCAAAGATCAGTAAGAAAGTTGGAAAGCAGAAGGCAAATTTTAATGTATAAAAAGTAAAAGCAGTAGTTGTGCTGTATGTGAACCTGTGTTTCCTGTCACGTGGGAGTAATAATAGAATCTATTCAAAGATTGATGAGGAATTTGCTGCCTGCTGCCCTAGGATAAAACTGCTGTTGAAGGCACACAACAAGGAAGCTCATAACCACTCTTAAATTAAAAGGGATGATGCAATGTATTGGAAACAGAAATAAGGATTTGGGACAGAGATGTGCAGAGTTTTGAAGGTGAAGACACTGATCGTACTTCATGAAAATATACGTGGACATATGGTGTCTTTTTCCTCCTGTTCACCCACTTTGAAGCTGTGTTTATGAAGGATGCTAATCGAAAGATGCAGGCAGGTTTGTTCCAGTGCTGGTGTGTCCTTTCACATTCTGTTTTTTGCCTGAAGCTTTTTTTTTTGGCTTTTATTGTTTTCCTGCAGCAGCTGAGTTAAAATGATTTTTTTTTTGTTTTACTGTATTATTCATGTTTATATGTAAATATCCCTTGCACTGTTATTTTTTAAAATCACTGGCCTGTTCGTGGGCAGTTCTGTCTGTGTACTTCTGTCTCTCGGCTTCAGACCAATCATAATAATATATCCAAAAGGGTTTTGTACATGTGGGGAGGGAGGGGGTTCCCTTCAGGATCCTGTTTTCCTTAGGATATTAGGTATTTGTTGCTCTTATTTTCCTTCACCACTGAAATTCTGCTTTCCATAAAGTAAGTCCTCCTAGTTATATTGTTCTTATTACTTTATTTTGGAAGGGAAAACAAGATTTTGGGGTCCTTGCATGTGGGGAATATAAGTCAGGGTGATGAAGAAGCATCCCAGACTGTTCCCTGTCCCAGTAGGTGTGAGTAAAGCTCCGAGCAGTGGCTCCAGAAACGCCTTGGGAGGTGCCACGCTCCATCCAGCAGCACTCGTGCTGCAGTTGCTCAGTGCATGGCTGCTGCCTTTTCTGTCTTCCGAATAATACCAAACACCACATATCTGTAATGGTAATAAGAATCAAATGATGGAAAAATAAAACTACTTGAATCTAAAGTGTTCTTTGGGCACATATTTTGGTCTTTTTCCTAGTATGGGGACAGTACTTATATGTAGCTGCTGGGTGACTCTCACCTCTGGGTATGTTTTCTGTAGTGACAGTGTTTCTTCTTTAATTTCATATGGGTGACTTCAGCAGTGGGTCTGATAAGTCCAGTTTGGTGACAAGCAATGCAGGCTGGCTTCTGTTCTCCTTGTTTGGGTAAAAAAGCCTCTGTGTATTTAGAGTTAGACTGCTTTCCGGCACCACGGCAATCCTTGAGTGCTAGTCCATGTGTGCAGAGTCACGTTGCTGAGAGAACACGAATGCTTAATTTCTATGCACGTTTGTATATCAGATTTTAAAATTTCTGATGTTTCATCTTTTTTAGAAAGTGCTTCTCAATAATAAGTAAAAAAAAAAAATTGCAATCCTGGTTTTGAGTCCAAGTACAATGAGCAGTTTGAGACATAGTCCAATAGAAAGCCAAAATAAGTCATTGAATACTTAATTATTCTGATATCCTTTAAGGTAATAACCTTAATTATGGAATGACAGCTTTGGTGGGTATACACAGGTATGTTTCCTTCTAAAGACTTCCAGTAGCAAGGCCTCGCTACTAGTGACCCTTAAGAATTTTGAGAGGGAGAATATTTTCAAAGGCTTGCTGTGGAATTTGCTCATTGTGAGTTGATCTAACAGCTGGTCTGTTTAAATTACAGTAGAGATGAAAAGGTGTGCAATAAGACAGATCATTAATTCTGAAGCAAAAAAAATTATACTAATATTAAAAGCTACTTTCTGGTTTTATTGACATTTTTAGACTGTATATTCAGGTCCTTTACTGATCCAGCAGCAGTGACAGAATTTAATAAAATGAAATTTGGGTAACATTTAATGCCGTGTTTTGTGTTAATTTGTTAATAAAGAAATGGCAGTAGTATGATGGTCTTACTGTTAGTATGAAAGAGAATCTTACCAGAGTGGTGATTTCCTGTCTAGTAACTGTTTTTTTTTCTTTTTCCTTTTTTTTTTTTTTTTTTTTTTTTTTCATAGCAAGTCTCCAGAGGTCTGCAAAGAAACTTAATTTCAAAGGAGCAGAAGTGAGTAACAGTCTGTGAGTGAAGAATGGCAGGCCTCCAACGTCTCACAGCATGCACTCATTTCTCCACCAATACACAGGATCTTTCAAGAAGCCCCCTTTACGGAGACCACATAGCGTCATAGGGGGCAGCCTCGGCTCTTTCATGGCAATGCCCAGAAATGGGAGCAGATTAGGTAATTTACTACATTGTTTGTTTAAGTTCATTTTTCTGTGAAGAATAATGTCTGTATTGATTCTTAGCAAGAGATACGGTTATTCTAATGCTTTAATAAATCTCTGCGAATGTAGTAGTCTTTTTTCTAGGGTTGTTAGGGAAACTTGTTTTAAGGTACTGAACGTCTCTCGATGTTTAGGAAGAAAGCAATTACAACAACACACAGAGGTCACCCATGAATTTTTGACATGTCGCAAAGTTACAAAAGTTACAAAATATTCTTTCTTAATACTTTGCAGGAAACCTATGTGTCCATCTCAGTTAAACATTGGTGAGAACTACAATAAATTGAACATGATAAAAATAGAGGATAATCATCCTATATGTGGAATTTAAAAAGAACTGCTGTATTACTTAGACTTTTCGTTGTTATAAGAAAAAAAAAATTGCTTTTTTCAGTGGTAAATTAAGGCCACTCAGCTAACTATCTTTTTGTTGTGGTCATGAGCTATATTTGTGGTTCTGTGGGGCAAATAAGTTTTATGAAATTTTTTTCTTCTCCTTCAAGTAATTTCTCATGTTGCGGCCTCCAGTCATCATTAATGTTTTACCCTGCTTTTATGTTATTTTAAATTATGCTTAATTAATTGATACTAGAAAATGAGAGCAAGTCACAGTTTAATTAGAATTTTATTAATTTTTCAATCTTCCGCCCTCCTTCAGAAGTGTGTGATAAACTGATCTCCTTCAGCATTAAGCTATGAGTCTTCAAGATAGTAGTCAAACCACTTATATCCTCCTCTGCTCTAGTATCACTCACCATGTTCAAAACCTTGCCTTTTTATTGTTTGTGCTACCATTCAAACTGAAAAAAGAATTCTGTCCTCTTGAATGGACTTTAGCAGCTGTTATCACAGAAGAAAACAGGTTTTAGTGTACACATTTTGAGTACTGTATAAATTCCTGATTTCATTCAAGTCCTATACACTTTTTTTTTTTTTTTTTTTTGCCTAGCCAAGCTTTGCTTAAGTTGCCAAGAATCTACCAGGAAGACAAAGTTTAAAAAAAAAAAAATAATTGTGCACTTAAAGAAATCTCTGGTTAGGAATATTTAGTCTTTTATGGATTATTTGTCAAATCAGATGTATATAAACTGTGTACAGGGACAGCAGAGATGTATAGTTCTGTACTCTTGTTCTTGTGTGCTGCCTTTAAAAACATTCTATAGCATTTTTAAATGTATATTTACCAATAACTTAGTCCTCTTCAAAATTTCACTATGAACTTCAAATCAGCTTTGCAAAAGGAAAATTCATAATCAGTTTTTGGTTTTTTTAAATGATTTTCCAGTTTTGTCAAAGCAAGAAAGACACTAATATGTAAGTATTGCAGAAAAATGCCATTAGTTTTATTTTTCTCAGGTGATCAAGTTTTATAGGAGATCAAGTGTTTAAATAGAACTCACGGTTTTAATCTGTTACTCTTAGGAAGTGTTATAATAACATGTTTTAAATAGCTACAGATTCCTCTAGAATTTTTAATTTCCTTGAAGTAGTATGGAATAGATTTACTGAGTGTACACGCATATATGTTAAACACCTCTTTTTGTTTTGGATGCAGTGAAGCCATTAATGATGCCTTTTTCTTAAACTCCTCATTTGATGAAAATTTAAGCTACTTGTACGTGTTATCTAGTGGTAGGTAACACAAGTACAAGCATATACAAGCATAATTACTAATGCTCTTTCTGCTCCTTCTTCATGTCTTTCCTCCTTTCTTCCTGCCATATGAGAATGGTTATTACTCAGTAGGATAGTGAGGTTTTCTCCGTTGGGATAATGACATCGGAAACGAAACAGTCAAATATTCCACACTACATGAGACTTTTTTTTTTTCCCTTTGCTTTCTTCATTCATCATCTTTTCTTTCTACTTTTTCCCCTATTCCAGTGGTGGAAAAATGCTATCAGAGAGATACCCTTGAAATATCACAAAATAAGGGCAGTTAAAGGATGGTTATTTGGTTAAAAAACAGATTAAAACAAGACCTGCCACAGGTGCATCTTCAGACTGCTTGCTTTTGAATGAGATTATCAATATAAAGATTGGTTGAGAAGCCCAGGAAGGTTTTGGAGTTTTGTTTGTTTTCTGAGTACTGAACATGGGTTCCTGCTGTTGTGGTAATGTGTAAAATCACAAAATATTTTAAAAATTATTTCTACTTCGAAACATCTCTGTTAGCTTTAGGTTTTGTAAAATGTTTTGTAAAGACAAAAATTCTAAACTGATCTCTAAAAAAAGTACCTGTGTTTAAAATTTTGTAGTCATTTTTAATTTAGTATTCAGTTATCATGATGATTTTAAATAATGTAGATGACTCTCAGGCCAAACTGTCAATCAGCTATGCCACTGATGCGGATGAATGTCTAGCTGAGCTTTTTTTAGTTCATGTATAGCTATGCAGCTTCTAAAGCCTTGCACCTCCAGACACATTCAACCACTGCAGTCCATGATGGAGCCAGAGCTAATAAACCGTTTTTGGACTTTGCCTGGCCTAATACAGAGCCAACTTAGTTGTCCTTGTTCCATCTTTATGTTACTGGGAACACTGGAGAGGCGCTTGGAATACGCAAAGCCAGCATGGAGCTGAGGCTAACCCTCCTGGTGAACTGCAGTAGCAGGCAGGGGAGACTTGATCCCTGCTTTTGCCAGTTGTGTTGATAGAGTCATGGAGATGCTTCGTTTCTTTGTCACAAATATTGGTGCTGAAAGGAATGATGTTTCCATACAGCTTTCATAGATTGGTAATGTTAAGAGCAAAGGCAATTTCTCACTGTTGCCTTCCTCAGTTTGAATTGTTGTTAGTGAAAATAATCATAAAATTTAGCCGCTTCATGGAAAAGTAAGCTTTGGAAAAATGCACCTTGGAAGGAATCCAATATGCAAGTCACGTGATCATTGTTGTAATAACTTGAAATAAGATGGAAAGATCATGCAGTCTGACTCACTGCTGACTAATTAGTGGATATGATTTTGGCTCACTTGGAGGAGTTCTCATTTGCTGCATTGTAGGTTCCCTGTATGAATTGGTTCTGTGGTGCATTCCCCACAGCTGAAATGAGGACAGCCTTTTTTTTCAAATGTACCTCCATAGTTTTCCTGTTACATTGTAGTCATCTACAGCTTTTCATTACATGGCCATATGGATATATAATTAGATATGTAGAGTACATTAAAATAAACATCTGTGTAGAGAACAGGTTGGGTATTCAGTGAAAGCAGTTCAATAAATTATTGAACCATTAAAACCTCTGAAGACCATGCAAGCTGGCTTTGGTGCAGGTGAACTTGCCTGTAGAAAAGCTTAGTGAAATTAAGGAAGTATTTGCATGATTTTCATCATTGCTTAATCAAGTATTATCATTATGCACCTGTGTAAAATGATGAAAATGACTAGGTTAATGCCTTATTTCTGGGTTTATACTATTAAAATAATGAACATAAGGCTCTACTAATGCCTTTTTAATTGAATAAAATGAAAGGACACATTTATGTTAGATGATAATGCAGTCAAGATATTTTTTAAAAGCTTAAAAGTGTCCCTATTTAGAATATAATTAAAATATCTGCAATACCTTATAGATAGGAGCTGTTGGGTATTTAGCCCATCAGAAATTCAGGCATGTGCTTAATGATAGATTTTTGGATGTTATAGCCAGTATCCTGCTTAAAAACTTTTGGTTATGGGTATGTAGCTTATCCAGACTTACCAGAATTAATCACATCACAGCAGTATTCAAAATAGACTGACCATCATCTTACTTTAGTCTGAAATACTACATTTTTAAACTTGAGTGGTACAGACCCACTTTGTCTTCTCATTCCTGATTTATAAAGAGCAGAATCTCCTTGCAGCTCCATTATCTGCCCCAAATGTATGGGTTTGTGTTACTAGGTCTTGAAATATTCCTTAATTGTGTATTACTGCATAGGTGGTCTTTTTAGTAGAAGAATTATCTTTGTCAACTAGGATGCTCTTTGTAGTTCTGAGTGTTGCATTTTGAAGTGTCATTTTTTCAGTCACTTCATAATACATACGCTTTTGTGAATTGAAAATTATATATTTTAAGATACAAAGTATGACAGTATCAATCAAATGATTACTTTAATAAGTGTCAGTCTTTTTTTAAAAGAAATTATGTAATTGCTCCATGGCTTAGAATACAATACTTCTTTAATTTCGTCAGTCTTATTTTGCGAGGTTGCCCAGATAACTGTCTCTTGTCTAGCTTCTCTAAAGAAAACAGACTTTGAGGCCCAATCAATGGGCTTGTACTAACATGAGGGTAAATAGATTGGGCAACAACTGTCAGTAGCTGTTGCACTTAATTTTACAAACAGAATCTTGAGAGCTGTAATTGCTAAAATGGATTACATGACCTCTCAGAAAAGTGTTTTAAAAGAGAATCTTTATTAAAGAACTGATAGAGTGAGTGTGCTGTTTACCAGATAGAACAATGCTGGCATAACAGCTTTGCTCTAAATATTGTTTTCAATAATGCTTTTATATTACTAAAAATAATTTTCTACAGTTTGTTAGAGATTTTTAAAAAGACAGCTATTGAGTCACTACAGAGAGTGAGAGAGATTTCTTAGAGACTTGGCAAAAAGGAGTGACGTTTTGTCTGCTTAGCTTAAGGTTAAGGCTGATCTTTAGGGACCACTTTCTGAAAATCTTTTCCTCTGATTGAAACTAGCATGCCTTTAGAAGCACTGATGAGTATTTACCTTGTTTGAAACCAGAAGGTTGCTTCTCATTCTGCAAGGAGTGCAGCTTATTTTTTTTCTCATGCAGTCCAAATCTGAGCATGACTTGCAGGGAAAATTCTGATGCAATGTGGAGTTTTAATCTAAATCCAGTTTAGATCTGCATTGCTACTGGAAAATTTGCTTTGTGCATGATATGCATGCTTAGTTTTTGTGTTTAATTACAGTATTTTGAATTAAAATATGTGCTGTCATTGCCTTAATTAATCTTGTTCTATCCATTCTGTTTTCTGTAAAAGGAAATTCTTTGTACTAAGGAAGAATTTGATCCTTTGAAGTCTGCATGATTCTTTTGAGGCAAACTAGACAAACATTTTGGAAGATGTGTTGATACCCAAATATTGGCCTAAAGGCCTTTTTTGTAGAAAATCCGGCTTTCTTGCTTGTTGATAGTGATAAAACTTGTATATTCTCTTTTGGGTTTTTATTGCTTTAACGTTGTGCAAATGCTAAATATTTTCAAGTCTGTTGGTGGTAAGGCTGAATTGAGTTCTGTGAGTTTTGCTAACATTAGCATTTTTTAGGGGTGGAGTTCTGAGATTTTTACTTGTTCCTTGGGTTCTCTTTTACGCTGTACAAGGTCATACTTAATACTGAGAATCAGGAGAGGGCAGGGAAATTGGTGTCTCTTGAAACACCTCCTTTATATGTATAAGTGTTTAATCTCTATAGTAATTTGGCGTTCAAATATTTCAGAGGTGATGATGGAGCATTACTCATAGAGAAATGCTTGTATGACCAATTTCCCATTGTGTGACCTTTTGCAAGTCATTTGGCTCTTTATGCTATTAATGACACCACCTTGATCTTCTCTTCATTCATTACGGTGTTTGTCTTCCGAAGCCTGGAAGATCCTGTGGTGCTTAGAAGTAACGTATATGTATATACGTAATATACATAAACTGTGCTGTGTGGATGAATCTACAGGATTGTGTTAAAAGTACCAGTTTCAGTTGACATGAAGATCCTGCAGCATCGCATAACTCAGGCAGTCTGTTACCTAAATTGCTCCATAAGGTTACAAATTTAGCTTAATTGCTCCTAAATACCAGGTCTTCTGCTGAATCCACTTGCATGTTGTAGGCCTCTGTTTAGATGGTCAGAATATGTCCCCTTCCTCCACACATGCACACCAGTGTTTTTTATATCTGAAGTTTCCATATTTGGCATTTCTGAAAATAATGCCTATACCTTTCAGGTTTTTTAAGCTTTCTGAAGATGCATTTAGGTGGCTAACATCAGGTAGTCTGATTTGAAAATCTTAAATGTTCTCACTAATGTTTTATATCCAAGAAGGGGCAAAAAGAGATAGTGAGGGAATTCGGGAACTGAAGCCATGAGGGGAAGGTGGCTTATAGGAATTAAAATTGGCCTTGGACTGTCTGTCTTTTGTTGTGGAAGATTGAGTTCTGCTGCAAACCAAATAAGAAAAATAATGCTAAAGTTGTGTAGAAGTCCTGTAAAGTAATCCTGTTCATTTTGTGATTCCTGAGCCATAAAAAGTATATCAAGACTACCATGACAATGATGAGTCTTTGACTCTGCCATAAAACTCAGTGCACACTAATGATACAGTTGTTTTCCATCTGTACGAGAGATGTTTGATGGAATACTGGTTAACTGTTTTCAATTTTTTGGATTATTTTTAAGATATTGTTCATGAAAATCTGAAAATGGGGTCAGATGGTGAAAGTGACCAAGCTTCTGGAACATCATCTGATGAAGTTCAGTCTCCCACAGGTGTTTGTCTCAGAAACCGGATACACAGACGAATCTCAATGGAGGTAATTTACTTTTCATGTAACGATCGTTTAAATTGACAAGAGAGTTGGGGGTTGCTTTAATTGTTCATTACAACTGGTTGATTTCTCAATTAACTGTAGCCGTTCTGACATACATTCCATGCAGAGAGCATTATTTTAATATTACTTAAATTTCTGTCGCCATTTGTCACACAGAAATCAAGATGGTTATCTTGCATTCCTAATGAGCTGTAAATTTTGAAGATTAAATATGTTTTGAAACTTGGATTTTGGGGAAGAATTTGCTAAGTGTAGCATTCGAATATGTAGCATTAGAATATCTTTCCATCACATTCTGTGCAATTCACTGAGTGTATTCAAGAAGATACAGTGTTTAGCCATTTTTTACTTAAGACTGTTTTCTAATCTTTGTAAAACTAATGCTACAGCAGCCATGGTCCTAACTGCTTCAGCCTTTCCCTCTCTTCCTGTTTTTTAATGAACGGAACTTTACAGGATGGTAAACAAAAGGAGGAAAAGTACCTTATGAATAACTGTGCACATAATTTCCTTTATTTATGAGTCTCATTATGAATACTGGCCACCCTTGTGCTTGCTTTGTTGTCATTTCCCTTGGCGAAGAAAAGCAGAACACTTCCCTGTTTCTTGAGTGTATAAAAGTTACAATTATAGTGATACCTTTGTTACAGAAGCATGTAAAATTTTGTAGTTGCTGCTTTATAGCATACTTAGCAATATGCGTAGTTTGTAAGATTTTAAATCTTCAGTCAAAGCCTGATACTGAATACAGGATTGAGGAAGTGGATCTGGATAAGTTACAGTAGGGTGTACATGCCAAAAATTTTTTATTTGTGAGGCGTTCCGTTATGCTTGGAATTCCAAGACTGCAAGCATGTAATGCTGGTATGATTCCAAGAATTTGTGAATTAGCTGTATTAATTATTTATATCATTTCTGGCACCTAGGGGGTTTTGTCTTCAAATTCCTAAATTTGTATGTTAATCTCAGGTTTGATCTAAAGACTGTTAAAGTTGGACCACTTACTTGGGAGAACTGAAGTGGGTCTATTGATTTATCCAGGATGCTTAAACTAAGGAAACAAAAAAAGCCAAAAAATTAGTGTGAAAACTTGCACATCAGAATGTATGTTGGAGAAACTAAAAATCAGGGAAATTATTTAAGAGGGTTATTTACTTTTTGCTCATTGTCTGTTTCCTCTGCATTTTGAAATAAACATTTAGAACAGGAAAGAAATAAGGAAATTAATGATACATAACGAAATTAACAAACTGAAAAGGAAATGTGTCAAGTCTTCAAGAGAGGGCTAAGAACCATTAAAGGATTCTCTTTTCGATTAGGATTCAAGAAACTCTAAAAGAAATTACAGAAGGATGCAGGAATAGTCATTAAAGTTCAGGAAATTCCTGTGTAATTTTTCAGAAGGTGTCAAAGCATCTTTTCATTGGCCTCTTTAGTTGTGAAACAGTTCTAATATTACTCTTTAAGAGGCTTTGGGAAGCTGTTACTTCAGTTTTGTTTATCCAGTGCTAATTTTCTCATTTTTCTCCAAGTTCCAAGTGCTTGTTTCTGATTGTTGAAATTAACACTATTTCTTCATCGACTAGCTCAGTCAATGAGAGTACTAATTTTTTGGCAGCTATTCATTTATATTCTGTGAGAATTGTAACATTTCCCCCAGATCACTTCAGTATTGATATGGTGACTTTTCCAATAAGGTTTCAAGCTAATGCCTAAAATAGTCTTACTTCTGAATTTTAAGAATGGTGTCATTGATAGATATTTTTGGTTGACTTAAGTTTACTTCTTAAAAGTGCTTTGTAGCATAGTAGGTGGGGTTTTTACCTGTTTGTGCATTGCAGAGAAAAAACACTGTAACAATCTATGTAGCTTTGGTAAAATTCCTTTCTAATCATAATCTTTTCAATCGACTTTCTCGTTTCCTAAGTGAAAAGGCCTTAAGTGATTACATCATCTGCCTGTCTTTCTGTCCTCCTATTTTTCCCCGTGGGTCATTTTCTGTCAGTTTTGACAGATGGATAGAAATCTCAGATGGTAATTTTCTATTAATTTCTGTGAAAAAAGCTCTGCATCGGGAGAGATTGCTAATGCATCCACTGCTAGGAAAGATGCAGCCTTTATCGAACACCACAGTATCCCCACACGAGTTGAGTCTCAAAACATACGTCCATAGAAAAACAGGGTTTACTGGTTTTGGTGTTTGTGGAATGGGATTTTTTTTGCTTCCTCGGCCTTTGAGGGAACGAAATAAAGGTTTCCTCTTGTACCAAATCTTGACTGCATGCCTTGGGTGATTTGTGCCATGGAGCTGGCTGGTTCAATAGCAGTAATTTGATTATATAAAGAGAAAGAAACAATCTTTGTTGTGAAGTAAGTTTCTGTTATTTCAGTCTTATTTTGCTGGTTTGTGGGGATCTGTCATCTCTAGACATCACTGGGTAGCCTGAGGCCCTATTCCCTTTATAGTCATTTAGAATAAGTTACAGCAGTATGCTGTACTTGCAGGTTGGAGTAAATTACTATGTGTGTGATAGCATGTTTTTGCTGTAGTCTGATGAAGTCATTAGTCACACTTGAAATCCATTGTAGAATGTATTTGGTTAAATATACAAAGTTGGATAAACTCAATAAACCAGTATTCCTCGTTCATCTGCATTAAGATGAATTTGCCTGTCACACTATGACTATATCCTTTTTTGTGTTTAGTTTGGCCAATGTTCACTGCATCTGTAATATTTTTGTCCATAATTTCTTGCTTATATATGTTTGTTTCACTCTACTGAATTGACAGAAGTCCTGATTTGTTTTGAAGGTAACTAATCAGGTAAAGCTGAAACCCTGGAACAGTCTTTTTTACTTCGAAGAACTTTGTGTGTATAATGAAATTTTTCATGCTCAGCTTGAACTTCCTCTAGAATTCTGAAATTTAGCAGCCCATCAAAAAAACCCAGCCAATTTTTTTTTTAAAATGCTTGCTAAAAACATGCATACTGTAATCAAAGTGCTCATTACCAATACTGAGTATTAGTATTCCTGGGATGTTTTGTGCATTAGAATACACATTTTGATCCTTACTGTCAATCCCCACTGCCGTGAATCATAAATAAAGCTGCTTTCTCTGTAATCATTAAATAATTCAGAGCTACAAATAAAATGTAACATTGTTGAAGAGTGAACAGATTCTCTTGTCCAGAGTATATGGAAGATTTTGTTGGGAAAGAAAACTTGATCTTTCTAAAATTTTCATATAGAGCTATCCTGGAAGATAGAAAAGTGCAAAATAGACAATGGAGATGCAACTAGAAAATTTGTTTGTTGTAGCAGAATCTCCATAGCAATAGACAGCTGAAATTTCGTAACCTTAAGTTGACCTGGTTTAGATAGGAAATCACCATACTGCAATGTAACCTAAATATGAAGCATTTTAGATTTGAAGTGGTGTTTCTGCAATGAGAAGGAATCTTGCTCCGCAGTGAAAAATCTGCTGGGGTGAAAACTTTGCATCCACAGTAGCAGCTATGGAGATACTAGCTGTCAGTCTGTCATCTCCCCCAAATGACAAAATTTAGGCCAGCATGACTGCTACAGACAGGGAGATGATACACATTTGCTTCTGAATTTGTCAACACTGCAGCTATGGGACTAGACTTTTTTTTTAAATGATTGTTCATTGTTATCGTGTGCTTAGAAAACAAAGAGAACATACCAGAATCTCATTGTGTTGCCTAGGTAAAGTTTATTTTGCCTGTAATCCACAGGCTACTAATGGTCCATGAAGCAGTTGCTTTTTTTTTCTTTTCCTTCCCCTCATTCACGAACCGCACTGACAGTAGGTGCGAACCTCTATTGTGTGAGGAATTTGGCTTCCAACAGCTGTTAGGTTTTAATTAAAATCTCTACTAATCTAATGCTAATATTAATGATTACTTAGTAAATCAGTAAAATGGTTTATCAAAACAAATGTATGGAATCAGCCTAAGAATGAGTACTTGTGTGTCTGTATTTTAAGTGTTGGTGCTTTCATCATGTAAAGAGATACTCTCCAGATCATGGAGTTACAGCTTAAAGCAATTATGCTTTGATTTGCTGGAAAAGAAGACATGGGCAGTAATGCATTAATATAAATTCATGTTTCAAGCCGTAAGTGTTCACTGGGGGCCCTGTGCCGGTGCACGGGATAGTGAATGCTTCATTAAGAGCTGTGGTGGATAAAAAATAGGGAGATACTGTCTGTGCAAATTGAAACATCTGTTTCCCTTTCCCAGAAGTCCAAGGTCTGTAAGCTGTCTTTGCATGTGAACTGGCAGAGGGCCATAACCCCACTGTTCACCAGCCTGTTTCCCAGATATTTTATCCTGAGAAACAGTTCTTACCCGTCCAACTGTCTCATTAGTGACAGGAGCGTGTTCCAGATCGGGCTGCTCCTACCACACTGCTATAGGGTGTAATTCTCCCCTGGGAGGATTAGCTACAGGGTTAGTGCTTTTAGCTGAACAGAGAAATACAAAGGTTACGAAGTGATCCTGTAGTCATGTGTGCGTTGTACTGGTCACCTTCCGAAAGAAAGAACGTAGATGAGAAATGAGGTTTTGTGAGCTCCACCCTTTACCAGGGGTGTGACTGCTTCAGGGTGTGACTGCTTCAGGGGTCTTGACACAGCTCCAGTAGCTCGATCTGCTGCTGGTCCAGCTGGACAAACGTACCTTCTCCAGAGAAAAACCCAGAAAATTAATTGATGTTTCAACTGATGTAGTGCTAAGATTTGCTGTTTGTAGGCTTCAAATTAGAATGTGGTTTGTAGGTCGCCGTTCCCATGTGCAAATAGGGCACTCGTGGCTCCATCAAATTGTTTAAATTCTTTAACAGCAGAATGGATGGCAGTACTGATCCAGCCTTTCGGTCAGAGGCAGTACAGTATTTTCTCCTGTCATTAGTTTTGGAGGCAGGAAGCACTGTATCAAAGACAGCCTGAACTTTCAGCC